GAGAGACTCAAAGTTTGTAGTTTTCAGCATCTTCTCGATGTACTGAACTTTAAATTAAAATCACGATTGGGCTTGTTGTCGGTCACTCCGCCGAATATTCAACACATCGCCCATCGATCTCAGATGATGTATCATCCATGGCTGAACACATGTCGTCAGTTTCTCGACCAGCTTACTCTACTAGTTCAATTAGTGTTGCCAACTTATGCTCAGACTTGAATGTCAATTCGAAATCCTGATGAAGTGTAGAAAGCTCAATCGTCTTCGAAGTAGATGTTTTTCTTGGCTCCTTGACTTCATATTCATCTTTCCATTGCTTGTATGCAGCAAAATCACAACTAGCAACAATTCCTTTCTGTTTGCCTTCGTTCAGTGATGGATTATACTTGAAATCAAACAAACCATCGAACTCTTGGGTAGCAAACCCCTTATTGAAACGCTCTACTTTTTGTTCAAGCACACAGAAGTAGGTCTTGCGCATCAAATACCAATCAGAATGAGGTTGACGAGCAAAAAATCCAGCGAGATTCTACACGCCTTGGTTATTGCAGAAACAATCATTTCGAATCATCATGCATAAATCATGCAATTGCTCATGGTTCGCCTTTGGATGGTTTTCTGGGAAAGTGTACTTACACATTGTTATTATTTCTAAATGTTAATTTTTATCGCTTAATTCTCTCTAAAAAAATATTTGCCAAAAATAATATTGATTTCAAGGGTGTGATCTGATTGGCTGAATTGTCGATGGAGGCTGATAAGTCGATGACCAGATTTCAGCAGCTATTCGAGCAACATCTTAAGATCATCGACAACGTAAGCCGATCTACGCAAGTGCATCGTACGAATACATGAATATTGAACTTACACTCGGAGACCACATTCTTGATACCAAAAGAGCGAGTCCTTGATATCATGTACCAAAAGAGCGTGTCCATATCCATTGCTCACAGCGTCCAGAGACTCCTCCACGTCAGTCAAATGATCCGCGATTGTTTTCTTGCGTCCTTTGAGGTTATCTGGTCTTCCGTTACGATAAGGAATAAACGATCTGGGCTGGGATGTTTTGAGAATCGCAAAATCCAGATCAGGATTACGAGCAACAACTTCGAGATCTGCCATCTCATTCTTCAACGCCAAGGGAGCCTACATCCCACACTGTGCTCATCCGTCAAGTTGTGGTCGCAGGTTACGGCAAGTGTCGGGGTGTAAAACGCTCCTATTTCAACGCCTTTGTGATCTTCTTCTTCCTTAACAATTACAAATACTGCTTTCTCGACTTGCTCTTGAACCTCAGGTAGGATGAAGTAGCGGGGTTTACTACCAATTCGCGACAGTGGTTGCACGATAATCGCTTCCTTCTTCGATCCACCGAACGAACCCACCAATTCAAGAATCCTCTTCCAAACTTCTGCTTTGCGCAGTAGGCCGTTGTCGTCGTGAAGACTGTAAGGTCTGACGGAGCTATGGCCGCCAGGTAACTAACTGTCATTAAACATCTCCTACACCGCAACTTGCAGGCGAAACACCTTGGCATCATCGGCGCAATCTACGCAGGCTGAAGCCACCGCCTTTTTCTGCTACTTTGCGTGTCATCGCTTCTCTCTGGGCGAGCAAATCTGAGATGAGGAGGAAAATTTCGAGGTTCCAAAACCGCTTTCCAAAATGATGTGGTTCTTACTAGAGTCTGAAGTAAACTGCAATTATTTGATGAATTGTGGGAACTCTGGTTCCAAAATAATTGAAGCCAAATTTTAATAACTAAATTACATTGACATCTTGTGTTGGTGCTCGGGTTCCGAGCTCCTATACTTTGTATATCAACTAGAGGGGGTAGGATATAGAAGAGAAAAAAGAGTTGCATTCTTGCCGCATGATGTATACAACGTACCATAATCTTAATCATTGCTTTTACATCGATTTGGTGACATGGAATCGTTTGGGAACTTGAAATTTGATTTTGTAAATACAATCACTCTGGTGGTCCCTTGTTCAAAGTGACTTGATCATACAATGTATGGGATGCGATTTGTGTTTTATGCCAGAGAATTCACATTAGGATTTCGTTCACTCGCGCGATCTATCTGTTGGCGTACGCCAGTGGACGGACTGCAATGATTAGGTTACATCGTCCGCTTAACCAGCGCATAAAACGGCGTCTAGGGGTATTTCCTATGTAGTCTTACGTCGTCTTTGAAGTTTTTTAACTTATAGAAGATGCTACAGACGTTAATACCTATAGCTAGCAGCTTCTAGTAAGAATTTTATGCAGATCTGGTCTGTTGTTCCGTTGATCTCGTGATTCAAACAGCACACATATGGTGACCGCACTATATGCTTTACGGGATAGGCGCTTCGGGCTTGTCAACTTTTGTAATAGCCTGGAATATGTTTGTACTGTACTGCATATCAAGCAAAATTATGGTCTAGAAGATTTTTGTATAATCAATAATATAACCTTTTAACTTCAGCGATATGGATCAACGTTCCATACTCACCTACGAAAGGTCGACTGAGTGGATACGAAAGCGTAATTTTTCGGTTCTCGTTGAACTTTGAACCGATTAGATATGTTCGAGCGCAAGTCCCAGACCTTACGTTGCAAATGCCGTTCACTTGTGTTAAATCCTTTGCGACTTCTCAAGCACAATGGAAAAAATAAGCTTGACCGTTACTTTCGCCACTCGTTTTTTTACAGTCGTGTTATCAACGCATCTGCAACTTGGTCTAACTTCATCAGCGGACGCTAGTGCATACGCTTTTTATC